AAGCTTCTTCCATTGGAGCAAGCAAGTCTTCTATCTCTTTCAATGGAGAAAGCTTTGGAATTAAAAAGACTGTATTTTTTATTATTAATCGTGTCGGGGAGGAAGAAATTAGAACTTAGAAGAATGTAATGTAGAAATACTGTAATAAAGAAACTGGTAATGATCAGAAAAAGTATAAAATATGTAGAAAATATCAGAATAGTAGAAAGAATATGTTTTCACATCTAAATAACCCAAAAACATATTACTAATAATAATAAATAGATTATGACATCAAAGTAGAGATTGTCAACATAAAACTTTTGCATAGATCAATCAATTGTAGTCTGCAATTGTTTGAGAAGCAAATGGTGCTAGGATTAGGGGAACAACCAGGGGCAAAATGGTCATTTATCCAACAACAGCTTCCAGTAAGCTGTTCTGAATAAGCTGCCTCAAACAACAAGTCAGCTTATTCTGATAATCTACAGATTATCAGATTATCAGAATAATCTGTTTATCAGCAGATTATAAATAATCAACTGCTGCCTCAAACAGACCCATAGTCTCTTAAGTTGAGGTTTTTCCAATGTAACTTTATTTTGGGTCATCTCTTCTAACTCTTTTCCACTTCTAAGTTATATGACTTAACAGCATTCTACACCTTGGTCTTTAGGATTCACCTCAGTGTTGCTTGATAACGCCCCTTGGAGTTCTTGACTCAACAAGTTAGCTACATGCTTTAATAGTGCTTCAATATTTCTAGTAGTTGCAGTTTGTCTCTGTATCTGATTTCCTATTTGCAATATTACTTTTTTCAATGACAATCTCTTTTCTTTATTGAGTATTGATCGTGAATCTAGGTGGGCAAGTGGGTTTAGGGTTTGAGAAATCACTACCCTGAGTGTTTTAATTGTCCAGAGTTTTGTTAGTGGCTACCTTAATGAAGATTAGTTACATTTTAGTTGTTATTTCAATTGAAGTAATTATAGTTTTTATAATCAGCGTTGTAGGCGTTAGAATAATGGTTGTTGGGTCCGTTGTTAATGACATTCAAGGACTCCATAATTCCTAATTGTTTATATGCACTATCATCACTTATTTTTCCATTCGTTCTCCGCACAAAGCACCATGCGGACAAAGGCTGCGATAAACCTAATCACGACGGCTGCTTCTTTTCTTTTTTTTTCCTGCCGCGATAGGAGAATCACAGCCATTGTCCACACGACGACAACATATGGAAAGATTTTTCTTGTGAAGTTAAAATGACTAACACATATGTGGTCATCTTCTTAAGATTAAATCTCTTAGAAATTTTGTGAAAATTATTGATTGTCATTTTATCAATTAAACCACATGCCTCAAAAGGTTTATAAATCAAAGATTTCTTAGCTGCAACATCTATAATTGACCTCAGTGATCCTACTAGCCCTTTATAAAAGGTTTGTATGATTAGTCAATCAGGTAGAGCATGGTGTGAACATTTCTTAAGCAGACCTTAAATCTCTCCCATATTTTATAGATTGAATCATTGTCCAATTGAGCAAAAGAAGTGATATCTTTCCTAAGCGTATTTTAAATGGAGGGAAATAGTTAGGAATATTTGGGTAAGTTTATTTCATGTGGTGATTGAACTAGTTGATAAGGAGTTTAGTCACATTTTCTTTATCTCTTAAGGTTACAAGAGATATCCGTTGGAGAGTTCTTGAGAAGAAAGATGTTGATATGACCTATATTCAAGTCATTAAAGATATGTATACAAGAGTTGTTACTTGTGTTCAAACATAAGGAGGATTGACCAAATGTTTTCTTATATCTATTGTTTTACATTAGGGATCGACTTTAAGCCCATATCTTTTTGTTTTAGTTATGGATGGTTTTACTGGACACTCACAGGAGGATGTACCTTCATGTATGCTTTCTGCTGATGATATCCTTCTCGTGGATAATATGAGAGAAAATGATAAGGAAAAACATGAATTATGGAGGCCTACCTTGGTGTCTAAAGACCTTCATTTGAGTAGATCTAAAACTGAATTAATGGAATGTAATTTTAGTAGTAATAGCTCTAGTGACAAAAATGTAACCATGGGTGATCAAATTATTAAAAGGTGTGAACGCTTTAGATATCTTAGGTTTATTTTTCAAAGTGATGATAATATTAATGAGGATGTTATTAGTAGAATTCAAGTTGCTTAGTTGAAGTGGAGTAATGCTTCAGGACTATTGTGTGATAGAAAAGTACCGCTTAGACTGAAAGGAAAATTTTATAAGATGGTGGTGAGACCTGCAATGTTCTATGGCGTTGAATGTTGGCCTGTAAAAGAGAAGCCATAAAACTAAGTTAATAAAACTAAGTTAAGTGTTGCTGAGATGAAAATGATTAGGTGGATGACTGCCTTTAAACTTAGAGAAAAAATGCGAAATGAATATATATGTGATAGGGTTGGTGTAGCTCCAGTGACAGTCAAAATTATAGAGAGTCGTCTTAGATGATTTGGTTTCATTAAACGTCGACCATCTGATGATCCGATTAGAATAGTTGATGTTTTAGATTTAACTTATGTTAAGAAAGACAGAGGTAGACCTAAGAAGACTTGGGCATATTGTATAAAAAATGATCTTAATTTATTAGAATTAAGTGAAAATATGACACTAAATAGGATGCAATGGAGAAAAATGATTCATGTAATGGACCCATTTTGTGGGATAAAAGTTTTGTTGTTGTTGTAAAGAAAACAGGAACAACTTAAATCTAAAAACATCGTCAGAGATATCGTTATGCTTAAATGTTGTACATATTTCTTAGAAGCTGATAGTGTGAAGGTTTTGATCTTATACAGGTGATCCCCAAACAGAGAATTTTGAACAATTTGTATGATTACAGCTTTGAGTTTAGTGTTTTTGAACTAATTGTAGGTCTACTAATGCTCTAGTGCACTCCATCGACCAAAGGTTGGTCAAAGTTTCTGAGTGATCTTATTTGATTATTTTTTTCTTGATGCTTTGTCATGTTTTCTAATGTCTATTTGGTCTTTTCCAATTTTTTAAGTTTTAAATTGTTATTCTTTTTGAAGGTCAAACTTTCAACATATCCATTCATACACATGCAACACTTAAAATTAATTAGCAAACCTAAATAGCAAACAACAACAATAATGCAATAAAATAAAAAAATATTATTAAAATGCAAGAAAACACAACTAAGTGTAACAACTTTTTATTGATAGCGCTACGGCGCTGGTTCGTAAAAAACAAAGTTTACATAGAATACAAACAAAAATACACACTTACACCAGTTACACCCAAACAAATTATAATGACAAATGAATGAGTAATATATATATATATATAAATTAGAACAATAAATTAGAACAATGAATTCATACAAATGAATGAGTAATATATATATATATATAAATTAGAACAATGAATTCATACGTAAAAACATTCAACTAGTATTAAACCTAATTTGAAAATAATGTAATTTATTGGTAACAATGCCAAAAATTTAACCTATGGTATGAACACACATGTTCATACAAATACACGTGTCGATTAAGTAGTATATGAATTTTGAGTTCAAATACCGGTCTTCTAGAGAATTAAGTTACTTCTGAATTTAAGTCCAATATTATCTTAAAAGTACTAGTTTTATCGAATGCAAACAATTTTCAAAGGTTAGTTTTAAAAGTCCTGAACACTACTTATGGCAAAACGTTTTTACTGGATAATCTCTTTGAATTAGTGTTTTGTTTAGGCTTTGATATAATTTAAAACTTTTTAATGTCATTAACAGTCGAGAACAGAAATATTCTTTATTCTCTTTCAAGATATTAAGAAGCATTGAAGATTCTTATTATAGTTTAGTGTCCAAAACCATGCAAAATCTTCTAGGACTCCATATTTTCCAATTGACCGCACTCTCCTAATAACAATATGTCTATTCTACCAAAGTAGTGTGTGTTAATTTAGTTGTTCCACTTGTACTTTTCGAAATTCTTAGATCACAAAGAATTTTAGCATTTCAATTGGTCAAATTGAAAGTAACTTGAGCCCATAAAATTAACAGATCAACGGTTTTCATTTAGTTCTAATATAAAACTTGAATAGATGAAAATCATAACACAATCACTAGCTGAGTTTGGACCTTAGTTACAAATCTGTTTACAACGCCAAAATGAAAATAAATGAAAATCATAACATTAGAGTAAGAGAAAGTGTTGTAGAAACACCCTATATGTTCTTCACTTGAAATCTTTCGATCCCTTGCGAAATTCATTTCAAATGCTCTCCTACACTCTCTTTTCTCACTCCCTTTTACACTCACATGCAATCACCAAAAGTCCCTCCAATCCCTTTACAACACTCTTTTATATAACAAACATGTCACCCAAATTTGCTTCCAAACCAACACTGTAACAGAAAAACTATCCTATGTCGGTTTGTGGCATCGAGGCGCTCCAACGAGCACTATGGCACCCAAAAAGTGGCATCAGGTGCCAAGCTATTGGTTTCTGGCCTATATTTTTTTCAAAATTATGCTCCAAGGCATTGCATCAGTGGCGCTGTGGTGTTGCTATAAAATTGCTACAATACTCTTGATATGTCATATCCATCTTATTATCCTGTCAATTGCCTCAATAAAACACAAAATAAATAGCATCAAAGCAAAAAATAACAAAAAATTTTGTACAAAAATATATTTATTTTTAATACATTTTGAACACTTAATGCCCGCCAGCCCAAAATTGACCGAAAACCAACCCGCCAACCCGAAATTGACCCGAGTAATTGTTATGACTTATCGTAAAGTGGTTATATGAGTTCGGGTTGAAGGCGAGTCGGATTTGGGTTGAACTTTCTGAGATTTTTAATATTTGGGTTGGGTTTGGATCAAACAAATATGGATTGGGCCGATTTCGGGTTAAACCCGAACATGCCTTGCAAACCCGATTTGGCACTGCTATTGGTATCCAAATCATACTCTTGATTTTTCTGATTGTTGGTCATGTTCATAGGTTTTTGACAACATTGTCGATCCAGCTCTCCAAGTACTATCCGTGGATCAATTGGAGCAGTCTGCTTCTGAAGAAAACTTCTTGAAAGAATTCAAAACTTTTATTTGTGACATCATTAAACGTCTTCAGGAGCAGCCAATCATTGTTGCTCATACAGAGAAAACCTTTGATGGAGGTGGTATTAGGAGGTTGCTCTCGAACAATATGGAATTAGATAAGGTTAGATTTTCTGCATTCTGCTAAATGCCCCACGTTTTGGACGATTTATTTTGCTTATTTTCCTTATTTATTTATGTAAGATTTACATACATACTACTCAATTCTTATGCATTTACATTTCTAGCACCTAAACTTCAATTTTTACAATATCACCTTACCTATGCATTACCTATACATGAAAGTGTATTTTACTCTTTAAAAGATAAAATAATGATATTTTTGGTGTGATATGAAAGACTTGAGATGTTTAAACGTAAAAAGTAAAGTTTAGGTATTAGGTATGTAAATACATAGGAATTAATGTTAATGTCCCTAAACTTTTCTTAAGAATCGTGAGCAATAAGCTATAAGTATGTGATTCGAATACAAAACTTTTGAGAGAAAACCTTCTTCTTTAGAAGATGGGCGATCTTTTATAACTCTATTAAACTATTTGAGCATACAGTTTGCTCATAGCACGAGCAGTGTATTACTAGAAGTTAATGAACAGGCTCAGTTCATATTGAGGAGTTCCATTTGAGGACCTTATATTGTGTAATGGCAATTAATGTTTCCAATCTCTTTTTTTATTTTTCATTTGTCAGATTTTCCTCATTGTGAGCTAAAGCTTATGAATTTTAAACAAGTAAGGAGCCCTAAAGATTTTATTTTCGGGAAATTTATGTACATACCACACAATTTTTATGTATTTACATATCTAACACTTAAAGTTTGATATTTTCATTTATAACTCTTTGGTTCTATAAACCTATGCATGAAAGTTTTTACTTTTAAAAAATTTATAATAGTGGTGCTTTTTTTGTGATTTTTAAGAATTAAGTGGTATGGTTGTAAATATAAAAGTTTAGGTGTTAGATATGTACATACATAAATATTGTGTGCTATGTATGTAAATACTCCTTTTTTAATGCTGTGAAATCAACATTGTTTTTTTTTGAATGCTGTAAGAGTTTAAATCAAGGGCTGTGAAGAAAGTAAAAAAGGTTTTTAGGATAAAGTGAAGCGTGACTTACCTTATCGGCTGAACGGGCTCTCCTTAGCTACATCTCCTCTTTATTAGTCCTCTTTAGTGGTGAAGATCGACGAAGAAAGAGAGAAAAAAGTATTCCGTTTGTCTACATGAAAAGATCTATGTAGCGTGTCGGGCCATCAAGGGTTTGGAGTAAGAAAGGAATAGGGATTGGGAAAGGGTTAGATAGAGCAAAGGAAGAAGAGGTCACCAAGGAGGATAGATTGTTTTGAGAGCTCATCTTACCAGTGCATTCAATGATGCAATTACTACACATGAAATTTAAAACATCCCAAACAAAATCTAATAAAATTAATAAATCCATTACATGAATTATAAATATAACATGGAATGAAATCAAATTGAAGAACTCTTAGGAAGAATGAAATTGAGTCTAGAATTAGATTGGATGGCAATGCTGGTGTTGTTTAGCTTCCATTTTTCGTAGTAATAAAGGGCCGTCTTGGACCATTTTTGTCTTTTTATTTTGATTTGATTATGATTTTATTTTCGTTATTTTTTATTTGAAATAAAATATTTTTTATATGTTGAGAATTTATTTAGTTATTTTTAAAAATATCACCCAAATATTATTTTGAAGTATTTTCAAAATTAAGTTGATTTATTTTTAAAAATAAAATATAAAAATATGAAAAAAATATGCAAGACAGGTACACTTTTTAAAAATAAAACCAAAACAAACATAAAAACATGATACAAGATTCATTCTAAACAAGCCCTATGCAGATATGTTTTTAAAAACAAAAGAAAAGAATAACATAAAAATAAAAACAAATATGGTCATAAACAAACTATAAGCAATTCAATGAATAGCTCATCAAGTTAATGTAAATACTTGATTATTGGATAAACTATATTAAATCAAATACATCAATAATTAATGCGGCTTGTAGAAATTACTACCTTAAATTTTACAGGCAGCAAATTAGATTTAAAATCCTTGCTACTTTTTATATCAGGATCAATTTATTTGTTGACTTTTGTAATTATGGGCTTTATTTAGCTGCTAGACCTGGTTTGGAGAGACCTGCCAAAGGATTCTAATGTGATTTCAGCAAGACAGATTCTTCAACTTGCACTTAGCCGAATGGCAACACCAGCTGATTTGCCTTCTTATGGCACTGTTAATCAGGTACCTTCTTTTTCTTTAAGATCACATCAATATTTTTTCTTTTTTTGTTAATTAAATGGAAGATTTACAAGCATGCAACTTAATTCCAATGTATTTACATATTTGACATCTAAACTTTAGTTTTTACTCACACAAGTCACACACACACACACACATACATACACATACATACACACACACACCACACACATACATACACACATACATACATACAAATGTACATACGTACGTACGTACGTACATACAGACATAAGATCCGCGCTTTGAAGATGTGTTGAAATGTGTATTCAAATCATTGAAGCTTCATGGAGTAGGGGTTTAGTGAAAAGATCCGCAACTTGAAGATGTGTTGGAATGTTGATTAAATGAATAATGTCACCATTGAACTTTTTAGAGAAATGTCTATCAATCTCAATTTGTTTGGTCTTGTCATGAGACATATGGTTCTTTGCGATACTAATGGAGCTAGACTGTCACATAACATCTTCATGGGATTGATTATGGAGTATCTCAACTAATTTAGTAATCTTTTGATCTGCATTTCTTCATAAATTTCCAAAGCAAGTGCCTGGTATTCAGATTTTGCATTACACCGACGACTGCTTTCTTCTTGCTCCTCCATGTGACAAGATTTTCTCATACATAGGAACAATTCATAGATGTGGATCTTCTGTCAACGAGTTCTCTTGCCCAACTAGCACAAGTGTAAAATTCTACCTCCCCGTCGCCTGATTTTTTAAACAATAACCCTCTGTCAGAGATTTTCTTAAGAAACTTTAATATTTTATAAACCAAATATTCTTCATTTAAACTATTCATATGTTCACTCACAATGCTGACAGAGTAAGTGATATCAGGTTTAGTGTGTAGCATGTAGATAAACTTATCCACCAATCTCTAGTATCTTTCTTCATCAATGACTTTTCTCCTCTTGAATAAACTTTTTGTTGAAATCCAAAGTCTCAGCAGGTTTACACCCTAATATATTACAATTCTCATCTTAGATCGTGCCACATCTATGCATAGAAAATATCTCACAGCTCATAGATCATTGATTTCAAATTCAATGGCAAGAACCTTTTTAATTTTCTTAATATCATTTTCATCACCACATGTGAATATCATATCATCTATATAAACAAGGAGTATATAGCTTTTTTACCTGCCTGTGTATACTTTATGAATAGTGTATAATCAAATTAGTATTGTGTATCTATTAAATTTCATATTCTTGACAAACTTGTCAAACAAGCTCGTAGAGTTTGTTTGAGGCTAGAATGTGACTTTCGTTGTTTACGAATTAAATGTTCATTTGTCAGCCTTGATGGGATCTCCATATATATGTCTTCCTTAAGGTACTCATTAAAAAATGATTTTTTTATATCAAGTTGATATAGTTTTCATTCTTTTTTTTATTGCCAATAAAAGAACTCTTAGGTGCTTTATGGCAACATATGAGACTTAATTTACTAGGAGTTAATAAATCTCGTAAATTCAGATTTACTAAATCTTGAATGTGTTAAAGCTGAAAAACTGTCTAACAATAGATTTATTAAATCCTGTAAATCCAATAAAATTGTTTGGCAGTTACAAAGTTGCGCCTTAAATCTGAAGTGCGCGAAGTTAAATCCATAGATTCGTAGGATCTACTAAATTCGGGATTTACGACCGAAATCCGTAAAATCCGGATTTACCGCATCCCATGATTTATTTTGTCCAAAATGATCCTCTGATAAGATTCTGCTCAAATCATGCCTAAATCCTGCTCTAAATTCGTCACCAGACAACCCCTTACAATATTAGCTTGACCATTAGTGCAAATGTCTCTTGATAAGGCTGAGTGAAACTTTTGGCCATCTAATTAGTCTTGAATCTCTTAATACTCCTATCTTCTTTTTACTTGGCATTAAACACCCATTTTCACCCAACTAGTCTTTTATTTGGAGGAAGCTTATAAAGGTCCAATTGACATTTAGATCAAGTGCTTAAATATCTTCTTCAACTATCTTTTTTTCCATTATGGACTTTAATGTGCTTCATGAATAGATTTGGGCATTTGCACACTATTAAGATTAAATGTAAAAGCCTTGTAAGGTGATGATACCTTCTTATAGACAACAGACTCCAGGATGGGATAATTTGTTCAACTTTTTCTATCTTCTCTATCGGATTCCATGTCCCTTGAAACTTCAAAGATTTGTGAATTTAGGTTTGCTTGTGAAAATTTTTGTGGTTGCATATTATCTTTATTCTACTTAGTAGATTTCTTTCTCCTAGTATACACACGAAGTTTCTTAATGTCAATCTCAAGTTTGAGATCCTCAAGTTGTGGAAATTGGGAGACAGGATGGTTAGGGGGAAATAGAATATGATGTGATAGCTCTAGATTAGTGTGGGTATCCAAAGTAGTTTCCCAAATCTAATATTCACCCACTCTCTTCCTGAATTTCAGATTTGTAGTAGGATTATTTTTTCGAAGAAAGTAACTTCCATGGATTTATTTAATACCCTTTTTGTTAGAAGCTTAATCAAGGAAAATACGTTTGATGGATTTTGGGTCAAGCTTTGTGCGGTTTGGTTGGTGAATGTGAATAAAAGAGGGCAAAATATTATTAGAGGAAGATTGGATGAGAAGATTCTAACATGAGGATATGTTTCCATCAAAACATCGAGAGTGGTTTTGAATCTAAAGACTGCTTGGAATTCAATTTAATGAGGTAGATGGTTGAGTGCTACATCTCCCAAAAAAAATTTGAGTCATTGTGTGACTGCCTTATAGACCTAGATACCTTGAGCAGATGTTTAACCTTTCTCTCAGCTATCCAATTTTGTTATGGAGTCTCGACACATGAACTTACATGATGACATAATTATTTGATAGGAAGGGTCGAAGGATCTATTTAAAGTATCATTTGCATTTTTAGTTTTGAGAATCTGAATTTTATATTGAAATTTGGTGTAAATGATGTCATGGAAGGACTGAAAGATTTTTGTTGTTTTAGATTTCTCATACATGAGGAATTTTGACTTATCACGATCTGGTCCTAGGCTTGGAATTAATCAAGGCTAGTACAAGCGGTCAGAAAATGAGAATTAAATGTTTCCACATTTATTTTCTATAATTAACTATTAACAAATGAAAGAGTCACTAATCAAATAAAATTAAGGCAATATATTCAAATTTACCTCGTTACTGTTTTGTCCGCGTTCTCTGTAAACACTTTCTCTTCTATCACTCATCTTTTAATCACTTAATTAAACTTGAAATGCTAGCTTAAAATAACATCGAACTAAACAAAATTAGTGAATACTCATAGTTCTATACTACAATAATATAAGAAAAAGAAAGCAAAATACATGCAAGTTAAACTTTTTAATAAACCAATATAAACATTTGATACTACTCAATGAATCTTACAATAACAATAACATATATATATATTATTTTATATCCGTACAACTGTCACGAGAACACCGTCTAAAATTTGTACCACTTAAGGTACTTCAATATCAATATCATTTTCCTTATACGTGCACGAGTAAATTGGCGTTCCCCTGCTAGTATTATAAATGAATGACTCTATCATAATCAGTCATGCACATACAAACGGTCAATATAAAAATATTTTTCATCTGCTCATGACATCTAATTTATTATACTGTATATAACATACACTAATGTTTGATACTAAGTACTATATACATTCATAATAATGTATCCAATAAAAATAATAACTTTTAAATCAAAATAAAGTTTTTATAGGTATCATTTTCTACTAATATAAAATAGTAGAGAGTAAGACTGTCAAAACGACTCTTTGTTCACAAACAGTTTGTGCATGGTTCGTCAAGTAGTTCGCGTTTGATTCATTCGTTACACAAACGAGTTGAACACGAACAAAGACTTGTTCATGCGTGTTTGACTCGTTTTAATAATGAAATTGTATATATATATATATATATATATATATAATAGAAAGGGTGGGAAAACAACTCTCTTTTTCTCTGATTTAGAAATCTCAATATTGACTGAGCAATACAAAGTTCGTTCTTATCGAAATATTTCAGTGAGGGCGCCCTCTTGGGAAGTTATCGGAAAGAATTTTGAAGATCTCAAACTAGTAGGAAAGTGAGACTTCTTGATGGGAGGCATGTGTTGATTCAGTTAATAACGGCTGAAGACTTCGCTCGAATTTTCTCTAAAAAATATCTTAACATTGCAGGAAAGTCAATGAAGATGTTCAAGTGGTCTCCTGATTTTACCCAAATCATGAACCTCCCACTGTACCGATATGACTTAGTTTATCTGGTCCAAGCGCATCTATTTAATCATTACGTTCTCTACTCTATTGGGGTCATACTTGGGGATCCTATAAAGCTAGACCTACCCACCTTCAATCTAACCAGACATTCTGTTGTTAGAATACTTGTGGAAAGGGATATTACTTTACCTGATATTACAGAAATCTGACTGGACTCAACACAATGGATATTGACAACAAGTTGTCATGAAACATAGACCCTTTTATTGTACCCATTATAAGATGTTTGGGCTTCCCCTTGACAAATGTCATAGGCTACACCCTAACTTGAAACCTAAAGCTCAAATGAATAAGGATGTCTAACCTCACTGCTCTGGACACATCTGCTTCACCTGTGGAGGGATTCACAGCAAGATAGGAGTTGGTGTCTGATTTAATTGCCTCTAGGGACCCCCCCTCTTGACAATACTGTTTCTTTTAATGCAATTGGTATGCTGTCGGATGTTTCTGATGTGCAACCTACAGCTTCAAACCTTTTTGAAATCAATACTGAAGGATCATTATCCACAAGGGACAATGTTCGGACCGATAATCAGGATAGTCTTGCACCTCTTCATCTTCAGGAAATATCAGATGCAAAGGAGACAATTCAAACTTCACACACACTAGAATATATCATTGTTGACAATATTTCTACTGTTGTTCTACCACCTCATTAAAACGAACAAGTTACTATTA